ATAAAATTACTACTTACAAAAACCTCCATTGTGAAAAACAAGGGTTTATTGTTTGTGGTTGTCTCCTTCCCAAAAAAGATGGTCACAATTAGGAAAAATGGTATCCTCACAAAAACATTGTCATTGTTGGATTGCTTCTGATGATGAGAGAGACATCAGGTATGAACTGTTCTTCTAATCAATTTTTATCGTATACTATAATCAACTCTGGTAACTGAGATGCATTTTCTGATGAATCCCTAAATAAAATGGGTTAGGGTTGATTTTTCAATTCATTCGGGTTTAGTAATACAAGAACATTTTTACATGTACTGAATCTTTCAATTACGTTAAATGAAATGGAAATGTTTTCAAGAGTAGGGTTTATTTGGGGTGATAGTGGAGCAAAGCTATGTTTGATAAAACGTTAAATACTTCATGTTATTGTAATGTTGTCTTATTGGTAACATTTGTTAAGTAATTGAAAATGGTTTTGGTCAACTTTAGTTGTTGATCTGAATTCAGATTTATATTATCAAGCCATGGCTATAAAATTTATGGATTTAGGGTTTAAATGTTAAACATTAGTAATTGGTGTTCATATCCATTTCTTTTTTAGAATCCTTTATTATATACATGACATTATATTTTGGTACATGCATTTTAATTTATCAGCAATGAAGTCGCAAAGGGAGAAAGACATAAAGTTGTTGGGAAATCAAGTGACTCAAATGGATCAAAGAATAAATATGTCAAGGAAGCGGTAGCTAAGAAAGGAAATCGTAAAATTGTTGGGGTAGCAAGGGTCTCAAATGGATCAAAGAATAAGTTTGCAACTAAGGAAGGAAGGAAGGAAATCGTAAGTTTGCGACTAGGGTGTGGGGGAGAAAGCTTTACTACTTTTATCATCGTTTTCTAGGTAGTTTTATTTATTTCCCCTTGCTCATTTAGTGTTAGTGTTAGTTGAGTTGAATTCTTGCATTGTCGAGTCTATATGCGTGTTTTTCTATGGTTTACTGATTCCCCAATTTTCTTGAGCCATAATAAAAAAAAATTGGTTTGACCTATAACACAACACCTTAAGAGTATATAGGTTACTTTGCACTTAGGCTATGTTGGATTGATTTGAGAAAGATTCACCAAAATAGATACCATTTTGACACCCTAAACTCCCTAGTTATATATGATCGTTTTGAGTACCTATTATGCCAAGACCTTAAGTTTGAGTTTATAAGTAGTCCCGAGTAGTTTATATTAGCAGTCAGCACCATCTTAAGCACAAACTGTGTAGGGAGTTGATGAATATAAGTGGATGATCCCAAAAATTCTAAAAATGCATGTTGTAACTTAATAAAAATAGGGAATGCACCTATTAAGTTAGGTGACCCTCACCCAGTCACTTAATCCAACGGTTGTGGAACCTACGTTTTTTTTATAAAAATCCGTTGTTAGTTGGTTCAGAGGTGTCTGGTGCTGAACTTGGTAGGGAGGACTACAGTTCGATCCCCTGCAACTTGAAATTGGGTAAATAAAAGGGGTTACCAAACTCATGTACCAGAATCCCGTGTTAAAGGATTATAATCACTAACTAACTACTCTACTATGTGCATGCACAAATAAATGGCTTAATGAGATTGTGCTCGAATGAAAGTGGGTAAAATAAAATAAAATAAATAGGTTGATCTATAATAAAATGATTCAAACTGGTTTTGATTAAGGAGGGAGTTTTAGACCGTGTTTTACGGTTTCGTGTCATTACGATCTCCTTAGTGTTGAATTTGAGTATCTATCACTCTAACAAAATGCCTCGCGACCACGTACGGTTTGAGTTATTTTGTGTATTTGTGTCGAACCTGTGTTTAAATTGATTTTCATGCTGATTATTTTCTTGAGGACAAGCAAAGGTTCAGGTGTAAGGGAGTTTGATAACGCAAAATTTCATTGTATTTTCGACTCGACTCGCATGAATTATTTTACCGTTTTTAGTTATTTAAGGCATTTTATGCTGGTAGTTTTATTGTATTTCAGGTATTTTTCCTCCAAGAAGCTTGCATGAGAAAAGAAGAGAAATTGGCAAAGAAAACACAAGAAATATGAATTACAGAAAAGATAAAGAAAATCTGCACACAGAAGGTTGTGGCCCTCACCACGCATCTCAAAGTTGTGGCCCTCGCCACGCTTCCTGTGGCCACTGCCACATTCTTCTTATAGAAATCCCATGTTCACTCTCCCATGTTAGGTCCACGAGATCGTTTATGTTGTTTTCTCTCTGCAAGACCAGGCCTGATGAAAATCTCTCCACGAACAAAGCTATTCCAGATTCTTCTCGAGGGAGTTACGTGAATCAAGCGAGAGATCTATAAAAAGGGCAAGGATTGACAGTTACCAGGACGTCCAATTTTTCATTATTCATAGCACTTTTTCTTCTAGAGTTTAAGCAGAAAAATCACCATAAAAAGTGATAGTCTTCCACATCGGGGGACTACGACAACATTAGTTTTAGGCATATTTTAGTTTTTTCACTCAGTACTTTTGGTCAAGTGAATCCTGCCGAAATTTGTGGAGGATCGTGAAGTTAATTTTCATTCAAGTTAGTCAAGTTTTATTTATACTCGAGATTATTTCCAAGTTTTTAATTCAAACTTTTATTATATTTACCTTATAGAAATCATGTTTTGTTTTATGATTAACCACTATCATAACATGTTTCTATTCAAAACTATGTCCGGATAAATCCTTTGATATTGGTATGTAAAAGTAATCAAACAGAAGGGATTCAGAAATCTATTGGCTTAAATAATTTCAAACTGCTTTTCCGGTGTTGGATTCTAATTAAATACTAAGACAGTTTTATTACGAGAGTAAAAGACAAACAAAGGTTAAAATCAATACAATGGGAGTTTGAGATTTTTAATCGGATAGTAGTAACTGAACATTGATTTTAAATACAGCGAGAGTGCTTTAGGATTAATTATATTTTATTGGTTTCTAAAAAGTATTTTTAAATTCAAATGAGATAGCGAGAGAAAGCATTTAAATTTAAGAATATTTTATTAAACTTGAATTTACTCCGTATTTCTCTCAAAAACCTAATATTAATCTTCAGCCTTAGATTACATAGTAACATTAGATAACATTAGTTTGATTATCAGACCCTGTGGGTTCGGTATCTTTTAAAACTATGCGATTAGACTGTGCACTTACAGTCAATAATTCCAACTGACTCTTAAAGTCGCGATCAGTACCAACGATACTTGGTCCACAACCCTTGCTTTTTGAACATTAAGGGTTAATTATATTTCCAAACTCCTCTACAATATGTACGTTTTCTGGAACATCTTCATTTCCGTATTTTGATTTAATCCTACCAAGTTCAGTAGTCAGATATTCTTTTTTTTTTGTAATCATCAACATCCATACATGACAATTCAGCAACCTCCTTACTAAGATTCACCAAATTATCATGTCTAGCAACCAAATGTAAATCCCATTAGTGTGAACCATCTTCATATCATCCACTAATAGAGTCCTTCGCAAATAATGACCAACGATTTAACACAAGAGTCTAAGGAAATTCAACAATATTAATATAAACCATCACAACAACAATGTACTCACAGGAATCCCAATAGATTCCATTCTAATACATGAGCATCTGAAATCTTTATTCGATGGATAGTGAGATACATGTCATTCATGCCCTTTGCATCGATATTTTGTCACTACATAAATTGTAAAGGACGCCATATCTTGAGTATATAATACAAATATTAAGGATTCCTTTTTCAAAACAGATCGTACCATCTCGAATATCTCTTTTGTCCATTTCTTTGAAGTTGACCTCTCAAGCGCCCTAAGACTGGAATGCAACACTTCCTGTCCATATTGGGATTAAAAATCTACTTGTACCTCTCTAAATCAAAAATATGTCACACACCTATGGAACTTCTTAACGAAATCAGTCATATTCATCTCCGAATGTACAAATTGACCCATATGGCTATGAAATGCTTCACACCATGATGTCATTCTTATTCCTGCAAAGAAATTTCCACGAATATGAGTTGTTGCCCACATCTTCCTTTTTTGGTACAATTAATTGATCCAATTGTTCTCCTCTAAACCAAACATGGTTACCATTTCATTCCACATATTGTCAAATTTCTAAACATCATGATCTCCAAGCATGCATTTTTTGAAAATAGGGATGAAATTGGGATTGCCAATGTTGGACATTGCATTTCATAGGAGATGCCATGCACATAACCTATGGTAATTGTTGGGAAAGACTTTCCTGATTTCATTTCTCATAGCAACATCGCCATCCGTTATTACAAATATTGGTGTCTTACCTTTCATTGCAACCAAAAACTGCTCCAACAACCATACATACGTCCCTTCGACCTCATTTGAAACTATGGCAGTAACAAATATAATCATCTGGTTATGGTTATTAACACTAGAGAAAACAACAAAGGGGAATTTGTACTTATTTTTCTTGTATATAGCATCGAAAGCAAGCACATCGCCAAATAGTTCATAATTCTTCTGACTTTCACCATCGCTCCAAAATAGGTTATGCAATGTTGCATCCGCACCCACTGTGTATGCAACAAACATCAATGGACCTTTAACGCAGAGATCAATAAGATACCTAACAATACCTTTCGCATCAGAAGACATCTATTTCCTTTGTCTTGCAATTTGATTATGTATGTCCTTCTTCAAAAATCCTACCTTATCATACCCCCCGACATCATTTGCGAATGAACCAATTATTTGAGTTACTTTGATTCATGCATTCCCAAAATTCTTAATATGTATCTGATCTAACTTACTAAGCTTCCTATTACTTTCCAACAGCATGTAGTGCTTCTCCTTTAACAATTCATGATTGTGCTCATATGAAAAAAATGTGACATACCAACGATGTGAAATTATATCAATATGAACCCAAAATTTTTCTCCACATCCACACCATGTTTCATGCTTTAAACCAAGCTTGCGATGCTCTATTTTATCTAGCCTAAATCCTTTAAGGTTACACACAAATGTTTGTTGAACAACATCTCCATTTCTTTAACAACTTGACCTTTACGGACCGCAAAACTGTTCATCTTTGCAAACCAACAATAAAACTCGTACGCAATTCCCAAACTTCCAAATTGTAGCTTCAAAACGTCATCATTTTGCAAGTCAAACATTTCTATATTTACAATGTTATCAACATCGTCAATAACCATCGATTCGTCTGGATTTTGATATGAAAATATCGATTCATTTAAACTGTCTAAACTCTATCCCAAACCTTTCCCATCACTTCTATCTATATTCCAATATCTGTGTCTACCAACATCCCCAGAACTGCTCGCGTCATCGTATTCACCACCATCAATTTCACAATCTTCATCCGCATCTTCATCATCATATTCACCTCCATCAATTTCACCATCTTCATCTGCATCTTCATCATCATATTCAACTTCTTCAAACTCAGAATCTTCATCAATAATTATGTTGTCAATAACAAAATCCAGTTTACCATCAATGTTAACTTGCATTACTTCATGCCCAATGGAATCACCACCATCCTCTTCGATTCAATATTTGTGAGTTACCTTTTTTGATTCATAATGGAAGAGAATAGAAAATGGAAGAAATGAAGAAGAAATCAGAAGGAAAGATAAGAAAATGATGAATATTAATGGGTTTTAGAAAAGGACAGAATGGTGAGAGAAAGATGTTAAGGGATGGTGATGATAGTGTCTGAAGGTGCATAATGTGATGGTATAGGTGTGATTGGTGGAAATAGAACTGACTGTTTTTAGCTGGTTTCGCAAAATGTCGCGGTAAGCAAGAGTCGCCACCGTCTTTTATGTTCTCCAACATGGAAAGGACAAAAGCACAGCAAAATTCCTTATTCAAGAATGTTTCTCGGTTCGGGAGGTAGATTTATAGAAAGGGAAGGTGTCAGCGCCCTTTCTATCCGTGGTTATCCACGGGCTCTTAGGTACTTGCTCTTATGTTTTCAAAAAAATTGTTTGCTTTTCAAGTGTGTGTGGGTTTTGAAAAAGTTTCGTTTGAAAAATTTCTAAGTAACTCTTGTATCTGTCCTCAAGAGTGTATGAAAAATTTGTTTGAAAACTTTTGAAAGTGTAGGTGCGAAAAGTTGTTTTTGTTTGTTTTGAAAAGAGCAAGTACTTAAGAGAAGTCTACCTACCCTAAGGAATTAGGTTGTGTAAGAGTCCTTTAGATAGTTCTATCCCACCATTGAGAGGTAGGTAGCACCATCGTTGGAGGTATTCGGGTCAATTCGATTATTAGGGACATGTGTGGTCACCAAAGCAATGGTAGGACACCTTAGTGGTAACCCTAATGTCCTAGATCCTTTTATCTGAGGCAACCGTTTCGAGGCAACTGGATCTTAGACAGGAGGGCAACCTCTAAAGCACCCTATACTTGATAACCACGTTCGAGGCAACCAGTGAGGCGTACCCTAGGAGTGGCATGTGCATGTGTGTTGAATTCAGTTAATGTTTGTCTTTGCATATTATTTGTGAGCTACGGATTGGTTTTATTTTTCATACATTCTTTCATGCATTTTTTAACAGTTAGGAGTGCGGAAAATAAATTGCAGAAATGTAAATCTAGCTATTACAAGGCGCGGGTCTATACATCGCCAAAAACAAAAACCCGTTTTGGAAAATAAAGTGCGAGAATTTAAATAAGGCGATAAAATCCTAATTAACTATTACATACCCTGTACAGATACAAAATAATGGAAAAAAATAATAAAAAATAAATACGCGCGAAAGATTGAATCGGGAACGTCCTAAGGGTTTTGACCCTTTTTTAAGAAAGAATTGAATTTTTGTCCTCCTTTTTTTTTGTAATTAATGAAATTAAAACTAATAACTAATTAATTAATTATTTATTAAAAGAAAAAAATGTTTTTTGTGTTTTTTATGTTTTTAATGAAATAAAATTAAAAAAAGAAATTAAAAGTTGAAAATGAAAGACCTAATTCTAAATTAATTTTACTTATTAAAAAAAATGTTAAAATTGTTCTAATTACACAACTAACTAATTAATATTAGAATTTATTTACAAAATAAGTTAATAAATAATAAAATGTTTTTTTTTTTTTGTTTTCTGAATTTTATGGAAAAATAATTATTTAGGTTAATTAAACAATTAATAAAACTAATAATTAATAAAAGGGAAATTATAAAAGAAAAGAAAATAAAAAGAGAAAAAAGAAAAGAAAATAAGAACCCAGGGGGTGTTGGACCCTTAGGGAGGTGAATCAGGAATTTAGGCCCATTGTCTCAAGCCTTTTTGACTTCTGAATCATCCAGTGGCGCGTTGACCAGGGAGCATGGTGTGGAGCACCCTTTGGCCTTTGGATTGATCTTTTGAGACACTTGGCGTGCATCTGTATGAGGCCTATGGTGGAACGCGTCTAGAAAGCTGCATGGGAATTTGTTAGAAAAAATAATATTGAGACTTGGGGGGACCTGGGAATCGAACCCAGGTCCTGTAACCTTTTCAAATAGCATGGCCACCAACTGAGCTGCGCGTATTAGTTATTATTAAAACAAAACATGATTATTATATTGGTAAACAAACATATGCCTAAAAATAAAAATAAAAGCGCGTGATTGTTTTTGAACGGGCCAATCATGCTGTAACACCTAATCATCTTCTTCATCAAAGTTGCAGGTTTTTTACCTGCGGATTTTATCCGCAGGAAGTTTCATAGGCCTTTCGTAAAATCATCCATAGGCTTCCAAAATTAATTCCAAAACCATGGTTGGTTTCGTTTCCATCTCCTAATCACTTCTATGCCCATTATGGTGGCCAATTTTTCCTGCACTGAAAACGCCTAAAAAACAAGCAAGCAAAACCTAGAATCGTGTATCACAGTATAAGGCCTAAAAACAAAATTGGCTATTGTCATTAGATCAGAAATCAAGCAAGAAACAAAACCATGCCAATATTTTTGAGGAAAAATGCAAGAATGGAGAATTCACATTTCGTGTACAGGGGTGACTTTGTGAATACTTACAGCGCGGTATGATGGGTCTTAGGGCTTGGCAAGGGTCTCTTTAGCTTCAGGGTATGGCAATGAAGAAGACTACGTGCTTCTTTTGATCTCAAAGTGCCTGTAACCTTGTTCTAGAACTCTCACTTTTTGGACAAATCTTGAACTTTGCTCTGGCCGTTTGTGCACACCCTAGGTCGTGAATGAGGCTTGTCACACTTGCATATGTAGTAATGAATGAGAATAGGTCACATTATGAGCTAATGATCCCTTGCAATTAAGTTTTTGGATTCTTCATAACCACCATTAAAGATCATTCCAAGTTTGTTCAAATTTTGAATTTTTATGCATAAAATGGCCCTAGCACGAAATTGGTAGGTTGTTCATGACACATAAAAGTCATTCAAATCAAAAGATGTTATGTAATTAATTTTTTTGATTTTATTTGAATTTTATGGATTTAAAATGAATTAAATCAAATAAAATTAAATAAAAATAGAAAAATTAATGTTTAATCTTGAAATTGATCATGGGACACGTGGGTGGCATGACAAGGCTGAATCAAGTGGAAGAAAGTGGACCCTTTTGTCAAAAATTGAAGTTTTAAGGATAGTTGACTTTTGTCATTTCATGAAAATTTCCCAACTTCTCCAATGCATATCTTGCTCAATTTTGATCATATGAACATGTTCTTGGACATTTTGGAAAGGTCTTGAAGTCCTCTAACCAGTGCCTTTGGTACCATGTCATTTTGATTTACCAATCTCAAGTTATGGTCTTTGACTTAAAATGCCTTTTTGTTGACTTTTGAAAATGACCTATAATGTTGAAATTGGTAACTTTTTGTGAGAGCATTTATTGGACTTGGAATGTGAAGATGAGTTGTAGGAAATGTCATCCCCTTCAAAATGAGCATTGGATGGGATTTTTCTGATGAACCATGAAAAAGTTATGCCTTGGTCAAGTTACAGTTGACTTTTCAGTTGTCCAAAAATAGAAACTTTTGCATCTTGATGATTTTTGAGCCATTCTTGTGAAATCATGGTCAAGATTTGACCAAATGATGATTGTGGCTTCAAAATAAGATGTTGACCAAAAATTTTGACTTTTGACTGCCAAATGACCATTTTGCCCCTACAGTTGATTGTGAAGTAATTAGGGTTGAAAACCTCAACTTCCTTGCAAGAACCAAAACCCTAATTTGACTGGCTTAGGAGGGTGTTTGAATTGTGCAACCCTTGAGCAGACTTTGAGCAAATTGAGATGATGCTTGTCAAAACTTTGAAGAATATGGGAGGGAAAATTTTGGGGTACAACAGTTGCCCCTGTTCAATCTTCTTAGACCTGAGGATGTAGATTGGCTTGTGTGCCTTTCGTGATCCGAAGGTGGAAGATGATTGAACACTAAAGTGCCCAGAAATTTGCACTCACATAGTGGAGTATCAGCAGTGTGATAGCGGGAATGGGCTTACAGATGCCATTTGGAGAGATGGTGGATAGGAGGATGGGCTTATAGATGCCATCTGGAGATGTGACAGGACCTTGTCGGGAATGGGCTTATAGATGCCATTTGGAAAGGTAATGGATAGTGGTGGAGATAGGCTTATAGATGCCATCTGAAGGTGTCGATCGCGTAAGAGATTCCTTAGCAAGAACTTGCGTGCTTTGAGAAAGGAAGATGGTTTCCTGGCCTGTTACAGGTGTTGATCTTCAAACTCTTCATGCAGATATGCCCTGGCTGGATACAGGTGTCGAATCTACAATTGGTTGCTCACAGATGTGCCCTAGCTAGATACAGGAATCGAATCCGGAACTTCAAAAGGTTGCTTACAGACGTGCCCTGGCTGGATATAGGTATCGAATCTACAAACAATCATCTGCAGATATGCCCTGGCTAGATACAGGAATCGAATCTTCAAACTCTTCAGACGTGCCCTGGCTAGATACAGGAATCGAATCTGGAAACTCTTCAGACGTGCCCTGGCTAGATACAGGAATCGAATCTGGAATTAGTCGTCAACAGATATGCCCTGGCTGGATACAAGAATCGAATCTTCAAACTCTTCAGACGTGCCCTGGCTGGATACAGGAATCGAATCTGGAGTTAGTCGTCAACAGATATGCCCTGGCTGGATACAGGAATCGAATCTTCAAACTCTTCAGACGTGCCCTGGCTGGATACAGGAATCGAATCTGGAATTAGTCGTCAACAGATATGCCCTGGCTGGATACAAGAATCGAATCTTCAAACTCTTCAGACGTACCCTGGCTGGATACAGGAATCGAATCCAGAATTAGTCGTCAACAGATATGCCCTGGCTGGATACAGGAATCGAATCTTCAAACTCTTCAGACGTGCCCTGGCTGGATACAGGAATCGAATATGGAATTATTCGTCAACAGATATGCCCTGGCTGGATACAGGAATCAAATCTTCAAACTCTTCAGATATGCCCTGGCTAGATACAGGAATCGAATCTGGAATTACGACGGTTGATAGTAATTATCTTTGGATTG